GGGGACACGGCTAGGGACTCACCTAATCAGAATGGACATGAGCAAGCACTCGAAGAAGAAGAAGAAGAGGTTACTTACCTCGTAACTGTAGTTCTTCGAGATGTGTTGCTCATGTCCATTCTGCATCCCACCCACCTCCCCATGTCGGAGGGGGGGGGTAAGAAGGAACTGAGGGGGTGGAGGGGCCAGCAGGGGTATATATGCACCGGTATACCGGCGCCACTCCAGGGGGCTCCCTGCTGGCCCTATGGATACTGCTAAGGGAAAAAAGCTCCGGAATCCGTGCACGCGGCGCGGAAGAAGGAACTGAGGGGGTGGAGGGGCCAGCAGGGGTATATATGCACCGGTATACCGGCGCCACTCCAGGGGGCTCCCTGCTGGCCCTATGGATACTGCTAAGGGAAAAAAGCTCCGGAATCCGTGCACGCGGCGCGTGTACACCTAATCAGAATGGACATGAGCAAGCACTCGAAGAAGAACACAATAGAATGCTGGCTAGAGCCCTATTATTGTGAGTGGAAATGCAAGACAAGCCACTGAAACAAGAAACAATGCAAGCATAATGAAAGGTCACTTATGTGAAAAAGGAATAATTTATGTCAAATCAGTAGCATGACAGTTGATAGCACTGCATTTGTAACATTTTCTTTTTATTTTAGAAAGCCTCAGCTAAGATTTGTTTCAGTACCATAATTACCTCATCCTTTCAGCTGTGGTGGGGACTATCATGCAGGAGCAAGTAATCTGAAGTAGCAGAACAGTAAATTTGATGTGGAAATGTTACTAATGATCCTATTTCACTTTCATACTAAATTACAAAAAGCATGCTAAATGTATCTTGCCTTCTACTTTCAGGTTCACTTAAACTTTTCTGTGCACCTGCAGTTGATTTTTATAACCATTTAGACGTGTGGCTCTAAGAGCCAGGCCATCTAAGAAGTTAGGGGGAGAGGGCATGTGGTAGTATGGGGAGATTTACTGCTCCCTCAAGGACAGCTGAAAGCTTTGAGCCTGTGAAGGTCAGAGAAGTCCTACAGAGACAATGGGTGGAGGGTGAAAGAGAACAAGCTCACTATCAGCTACTACTACACTTGTTCCACAAATGCAGACTGTTCTTCCCTAAGTACACCCTACAGCTGTAAGTCGCTGCACAGAGATGAGACTGTTAATAGAAACAGGCGTCAGGCTGTCAAAATTGTGAGACTGTGTTAAAAATAATAGATATGGGGAACTTTATTTGCTTTCTCATTTGAGGAAAAAGGAGAGTAGCAGAGTACAGACCTGGGACTTAAGAAAAACAGATGCTGACTTCCCCAGGGATCTGATAAACAGGATCCCTTAAGGAGGTTAATAGGAGGCAGAAAGGAGTCCAGCAGAGTTGTCTGTACTTTAAGAAAAGATTATTGAGGACTTAGGAACAAACCATCCCAATGTGCAGAAAGAACAGCAAATATGGCAAGAGACCTGCTTGGCATTAAATCTTCGATAAGCTTAAACACAAAAAGGAAGATTACAAAAGTGGAAATTTTTACAGATGATTAGGAAGGAATATCAAATATTGCATGAGCATATTATGAACATTCATGTGGGAGACATGGGGGGGGACAAACCTTTTCAACAACTGACTATACTGATTGGCTACTCTGTGCATCCTCATTAAGGACTAAGATACAGCCTGTACATTTGAAATTCTGAAATATATGGTCTGTCTGTTTTGACAGTAGTCTGGTTACTTGCGTTGCTAAATTAAAGCACACTTTTAAAAAGTAATACATAAAAACAGACATAATGGGACAAATGTTTTCTTTCAGATTAGAACTTAAAGTAACAAACCCTATATATTGAAAATTGGGAGAAAAAGATGGCAGTGTCAAAATACATGTAGGGGAATTTTGCATTAAATGTTATTCCCTCTTACTGGGAAGAGTCTGGATAAAGACATTACACGCAACATAAGCTTATTTTCTATTGTACAGGAAGAAATGCTGAATATTACATAATGATAAACAGTGAACCATGTTGAAAACAAAAATATTGCAACATAAAGGACTGTTTCTTCACCTGAGAAGTATTTGGAAATTCAAAGAAATTCCAATGTACTGATCAAAGACTAACCTCTTTAACTATATATTTTCAAACTACCATGAAAATAACTCATGAAAGGCTTAATCCAGGGGTGGCCAACTTAAACCTGAGAAGGAGCCATAATTTATCAGTGCACATTGCCAAAGAGCCACAGTTCTATATCACCTGATCATCTCCCCACCACCACTCAGCACATCCCGTCCGCTGGCAGCCCCAATGGTCAGTGCCTCCTCCTCCTTTTCCTCCTGACCACTGGGATCAGCTTTTTCTCAGTGGGGGACACTAGAGGGGGGAAATATGGGTGTGACAGTCTCAGTGGAGAAGGTAGGAAGTGGCAGGATCCTAGAGGGAAAGGGTAGAGGGGGACAGAACCTAGGACAGAGCTGGAGGTTGAACAGTGAGCACCCTCCAGCCCAGTAGAAAGTTGGCACCTGTAGCTCCAATCCTGGATTTGGTACCTATGTAAGGTACCATATTAACTTCTGAAGAACTGCAGGTTGGCCACCCCTGGCTTAATCAGTCTGAACTAGCCTTAAGCATATACTATAATGTAGGGATGTGAATGACTAGTCAACTAGACGATTAACCAATTAGCACAGGCTTATCGGTTAATCTACTTTACAACTTACAGAAACAGCAAGCAGGGGGGGAATGCATCAGAGGCAGCAAGACGGAAGGGAGCAAGAGACAGTACTGGGGGAAATCGGCTTAAGAGGCAGCAGTGCGGGGTGGAAAGGGACTCCTTAGGAGTGGAGCCAGATTGCACTAGCTGCTAGCACTGCCCCCGGGACTACAGACTAGTCGACTAACTGCTAAGAATTCATGTGGTTAGTCAACTATTCTATTTTCTGCTATCTAACATCCCTACTCTAATGGCCTTTAAGAATAAGGCATTTTGCTAAGAGCATAAGAACGTAAGAGCATAAGAATGACCATACTGGGTCAGACCAAAGGTCCATCTAGCCCAGTATCCTGTCTGCCAATAATGGCCAATGCCAGGTGCCCCCGAGGGAGTGAACCGAATAGGTATTGATCAAGCGACCTCTCTCCTGCCATCCATCTCCACCATCTAACAAACAGAGGCTAAGGACACTATTCCTTACCCATTCTGGCTAATAGACATTAATGGAATTAACTTCCATGAATTTATCTAGGTCTCTTACACCCTGTTATAGTTCTAGCCTTCACAACTTCCTCAGGCAAGGAGTTCCACAGGTTGACAGTGTGCTGTGTGAAGAAGAACTTCCTTTTATTTGTTTTAAACCTGTTGCCCATTAATTTCAGTTGGTGGCCCCTAGTTCTTATATTATGGGAACAAATAAATAACTTTTCCTTATTCACTTTCTCCACACCACTCATGATTTTGTATACCTTATCACATCCCCCCTTAATCTCCTCTTTTCCAAGTTGAACCAGTCCTAGACTCTTTAATCTCTCCTCATATGGGGCCCTTTCCAAACCTCTAATCATTTTAGTTGCCCTTTTCTGAACCTTTTCTAATGTCGGTATATCTTTTTTGAGATGAGGAGACCACATCTGAATGCAGTATTCAAGATGTGGGCGTACCACTGATTTATATAAGGGCAATAAGATATTCTCTGTCTTATTCTCTATCCCTTTTTTTCCTGTATTTGATGTCTGTTTTAAGATGTGCAGGCTTTATGATATTCACTATGCATCTCCCAAGCTGAGTGTGGCACTCCTAGTGTAGTCAGTGAGACATTTTACTTGTTCCATCTCTCTTTTGATAATACCTGTCATGTTTCAATTACCATGTGTGTATAATATTTTTTAAGATGATTAAAATATTCTTTGCATAAAGTGTGTGCCTAAAATGTGTCTAATATCTGATTTGTTAGTTCATCATATGTTTACTTTCTTAACTGTATTCCTTTGTTATATATGGTCATGCCAATTCACTTTCAGAATATGATCTGAAGAAGTGGGTCTGCCCCATGAAAGCTCATCACCTAATAAACTATCTTGCCAGTCTTTAAGGTGCTACATATTTTTTCCTTTTGTTTTTCCTAAAATGGAAGACATTAATACAAACTAAACATCATCCTATATAAGCAGAAACCCTGTTCAAACAATGCTGAGACTGAAATTTACGTTAATTAGAACTGAAGAGTCATTTTACAAAAGTCAGCAGTGCTTTATATTTATACTGTTTGATGGAGAGGGTGAATTTTAAGTCACATATACAGTAACTTAAGCAATATGTTCCACAATGTAGCAGTAATATCCTTTTATGGAATTTCAGAAAATGTTCATTTTGAAGTTTTCCAGTCTAAAATTATACTTTAGGCTGTGTTAAAAACCAAGGCTTAGTGGAAGGCAAATATTATGAAAATGTAAACATTTATTTCAGTAAGAAAATAATTAAATCTAAGGGCTTGTCTAAATTTAGAGATTTAATGAAATATCCATTTTGGATTTTTTTTAATACTACCACAACTACAACAATTTAAAATAATTCAGAAAAAAGATCCATTATTCTAGAATATGAGTGTCCACTGGCGGCTTATCCCAAAATAAGATTTCCAGAACACCTATTCTGATAAATATCAAGTGGAGACAAGCCTTAAATGCTTGAAGGAAAAACAGCATCAGAATTCTAAACAGCGTGTACACTGAATTATAAACAGCATGTTTAAAAGTAAAGCAACAACTGTAACTAACCTTTCTTCCAGGTTTTAAACTTTTTTTCCTTGTTTTGAGATTTTCAGTAGAGATGTTTTTTGTCATAGGAATGTTTTTAGGAGACTTTCCCTTCTTAGAAACTGTAGGTTGTCCAGGGGGGTTGTCTCGACCTGGTTTCTTGCCACATTGTGTTGGTACTGGAGCAGACTTCTGAGGAGATTGCATTGAACGTCGGGTTGCTTTGGAAGGGGAAGACGGGGCTTTTGCACCTCTTTTTGTAATGGAAACTGAGAGGAAAAACAAGAGACAAAAACCTCACCTGAAAATTAGTGCCAGAATCTGAAGGCACTCTTTGTCACTACCCAGAGATCAATTTGTGTCACAAAATTAACTTTTCTAATTATTTTTAAAAGCTTGCTACATCTTAATTTAAATTTTAAAATAAGTGTAAAATGAAGGTATCTAAATGTAAGAAGTGCTTGGTATAAACGGCTTCATTTAACTAAATCCAGAAAGAACAAATACCAATATATTAAAAAGAGACTTTCCTACAAGGGAAAATTTTCAGATAAAAAGAAAATATATAATTTCAATATACTCGCCTTAGAGATGTTTCTCAGTTTCTATTACTACCATAAATATACATTATACATTAATATATATATAGCGCTCGTCATCAAGAAGAATCTCAAAGTGCTTAAAAATTCTATAGTACATAAGAAATCAGTCCACCTCTAAATTCAGTTGCCACAGAGGCAAAATATCAATTATTCAACTATGCATAGTAGAAAGTGAAGAATACCCTCCAAGTAAAGAGGTAGAATGTTTTGACAGTCAAAATTAACACCCACAGGTCTTGTGAAAAATACCAAACATTCATTATAGAGACAAGGTGTGTATGAATGGCCTAAAGAAGAGTTCTGTGTGAGTCAAAAGCTTGTTTCTCTCATCAACAAAAGATATTGTCCCTCTCCCACCTTGTCTCTCTGATATCATCGGACCAACATGGCTATAACAACATTGCATACAAAGATTAATTATGTTCAATGATAAGCAGTTCAGTTTTAAATTTCATTTGAAAGAATATCCTCCCAACAGCACAATGGCCACCAAGACTTCAATCCAACATGGATTCAAAGGGAAGAGAACGGCCTATTAAATAATTTCTCATAGTATCTATGTTTTCTTCTGTGAGATGTGCACCAAATATAAACCCTGTTAACCCTATGCAGCCAACATGTGACTAGATCACAGCCTGATGATGACAGGCTGCAAGCTATGACCAGATTTCTCTTAAATAAGAGCCTCCTGCTTAATTATTTATTTTAACCTATGTCATTATGCTCTGAAGTCACTGTGATGACTGTATAACTTCCTTGGCAACAAACTGATAATAAAACACAACAGAAAGAGTTTATACATCCACCACTAATGGGAAAGCATGGTGTGTCTAACTCCAGTATCTCCTCTGATCAACTCAAGCAATGACTGGTTCCAAAGGGAAATTATCTATTGTCTTTGAAATAAATATGTGTGTGTGTGCGCTTTTGAGAAAATGAAGAAACAAAAGTAAAAAAGGGGGAAATCTAACAATCCTTGCACCCCAAGAGGGAAAGTTTCCATTAAAACTAACCTTAAATAAAACAGAGCAAAATAAGTCTTCGCCTGTCCCTCCTTCCCCACCCACAGGCATGTGTGCACACACATACACAGGAAAAGAAATAGAAAGCAAAAAGGTTGAACTTGATGGATTCTCTGTCATGTGAAGTATTTAAATCAAGACTAGATGTCTTCCTAAAAAGAATTTCTGACTGAGCTAAAGCATATGAGATTCCTTGATGCAGGAATCACCCAGTGATATTCTATCTCCTGCATAACACAGGCCAGATGATCATAATGGTCCTTTCTGGCCTTAAAAAAACAAAAACAAACAAAATCTATGAATCTGTATTTAACATGACAAAACTTGAGAAATTCCAGGTTAAGGTTAAAGCTGAACTGACATAACGAATGCCAAAATACCTGATCTGGAACACTACTGCAAGCTGAAAGGGTAGTTCGGATTTTAAGACTTCATTCTAATTTCCAAAGTTTTGTGGACATCAGAAAATTGTTATTGCTGAGCTATTAGTGACTGAAGATTTATTTTGAAAAAAAAATGCAAATACAACTAAAGGTTACATTAATAAGGAAATCTAGACAATCCATAACTATTAGTCTATATAACAATGTCTAGCCATACGTGTGATGTGCATCTCAGCAGTCTAGTGCTCAGACTTATAAATGGTGCTTTTCATTTTATAAGTTATGAGTTAACTTTAACAAAGAGCATTTGAAGGGAAAGTGTCATGGTAAAGTGAACTGAACATCCCAAAATAATGCTTTAGATGCTTATTTAATCAAATTCACAGGTTTAAGACACAGTTTAATTCATTTGTGAATCAAATGTTCTTGCTAAATATTTTTTTAAAGTCCTTTTTTACTAACCTTTTATAATCCTAAATACATTATATTAATTTTTTTTTGCCATAATTAACACTAGGAAACTGGAAAAAAGAAGCTTCTGAATTAGGAAAGTAATCAGTTACCTTTTATTTATGCACAATAGCACTGAGAACATTTCATGTATAGGAGCAATGCAAGTTTAACAACATCATTCTTATGTTATGCTTTTGAATCTTCCAAGTGACAACTCTTAAGAGACAACATATATGGAAAGCAAAACAAGATTATTATAAAATACAGCTATTTTATTCAGACCACACAATTATGCACCTAATAGAGTCAGGAAATTGCCCAGAAATATATTTCACTGATTCATTGTCTGAAATCTAGCAAACACTTTCATAGTCTCTTTTGTATACAATGAATTAAATCTTTAAATAAACAGATGATCCTAATGACAAATTTTAATGCTAACAGGTCTAGGAATACAGGTACCTTTTTCTATATGATGGGCAAATTTCTTCTCCTTTGTAGAAAGGATTGATACTATTTACTAAACAAAGGCTAACAATGCAAACAGTGCTAACCATTTTTGCTATACTACTGAAAAACAATATAAAATATGCTTACTTTCAGCATCTTCCTACCTTTATATTCCAGAAGGTCAAATACTAGTCACTTTGACCATTAAGGAGGTTTAGGACTTATTAGATAATTTTTCTTCTTACTAGTATTCAAACTGCTTTTTTGAATAAGTAAGTCTACAACAAAGCCCATGCTGCCTGAGCAGCAGCACTGAAATACTAGCAAATGGGAATGGAGCTATTTGCATTTGTTGGTTTAAGAGATGGGGGGGACTGGAGGGAAGTGAGAGACTGCTAAAGTAATTCACATATTGTCTGCAGGCTGTATTGACAGTGATCATCAGTCACCTGCTCATACTTCCTTCACCCCTGCCTTCAGAGGGAGACCAAAGGTTACACTGGGTCAAAGAATCTGGAAAGAAATGAAAAGACATGCAAAATCTAGCTGCCAACCCACGGCATCTGTAGACAAAGTTATCCCCGCTGGACCACATGTTCCAAAAACTAAGACATTTTAATAGTCTCAAGAGAACTTGTTAAAATATATCAATGAAAAGAAGAGAGAAAAAAATGCCAAGCTCTGCTTGCAATTACTACAGCATTTAACAGTGATATTTACAACAGAAAAAGCACATTTGCTTTTTTCAGGACACTGCTTTACATTACAATAGTCTTCTCATTTGCACAAACAAAACAAAGCATTTGTTTCATGCTGCTCTGCTGAAAAAATAAAATATCAACGGTTCAAGTTTCACGGGCTTTATGCATATATTTAGTGAGCAGTGTTCTTTCCAATATATCTTATCCTATGTAAAAACTGTTTTCAAATCCTTTGAAAAGATGGTCAAATTTAACTAAAATGACAGATGAACTTTATAAATCAGAGAATAAACCAATAAAGTGTTAAAAGTTATATATTTAGAGTTTTCATAGTTTACAGAGTCCTCTAAGACACTACTACATTACAGCTTACATGTGAGTATATAAAGTTAATACACACACATTAAAGATCTTCATGCATTCAATTATTAGTAACATGATATATCCAAAAGCTCCCAAAGTGTCCTCTTGAGAACACAGTATTTTCATTCTGTACCAAACATGTAGAGAAACAAAAATTCAAATACCCCAGAACCCTAAATCTCCAACTCTTACCAAGTGTCCAGTCCTTGAACATGCAAATCCAATGAAGTCAATTGGTACTATTTGCAAGATTAAGGGGTTTCAAGGCTTGGTTTTCTTTTCGGGGCCAAATTCTGCTTGCCATACCTCATTCAGACTGAATGGACTTGATCAGTGCAAAGGACTGCAGAATTTGAACCCAGAATGTTTTCCTGGGTATTTCCTGTTAGACTTAATCAGATTTATAAAGCTATTGGTAAACATATGCTACAGAAGAACTCAAACATAGGGAAAAAGGAAAAATTACTGTTCAGATGCCTGGAGATTGGTGCAATTCCAACTAACAAAACTCTTTTTAAGAAATTCCATATCAATTCTTTCATCTTGAGCGAAGTTATAAAAACTACAGAATTTTTTAACATTTAGAACACTAGGAAGTTCTGTTGCTTCAGACAGTTGCAGATAAGTGAATATAAAAATATATTAAACTCCGAAGTGAAATTACATGAAATAGACCCCAGCCCCAATCCTGTGACAAAGCTGTGTGCAGAACTCCCATGAATTTCTGGGAACAGAGCATTAACTGGATTAGGCCAGAATTTTGCTATTGATTAAACTGGGAACAAGATTTTCCAAATGGGAAAATAAAATGCAACAAGCCAAAGAAGAACAGAGTCATCCCACAAACGAGTCAATTATTTTGTCTAAAAAGTACCAAACTTGAATTATAATATGGTTATTTCTGAAGTGGGTTATACATACTGAAGGTATGTCTAGACTACCCTCCTAGTTCGAACTAGGAGGGTAATGTAGGCATACAGCACTTGCAAATGAAGCCCGGGATTTGAATTTCCCGGGCTTCATTTGCATAAGCGGGGAGCCGC